CGGGGAAACCTGCTCGGAAACTCGCCTGGCGTTCCCAGAGAGGCCCCTGCAGCCGGTGACCCCGTTTGTTCGCCCAGAGTCGCATGTCCGCATGCACACAGACCCCCACATCCACGTCCTCTCCTCAGCGACGAGGGAGAGCTTCCCCTGTCCCCACACCCCTCTTCAGAGACCCCCCCTGCCCACGGACAAGAAATGGAAGGATGATATTCCCTGTGGAGACAGAGAGAAAATAAGGCTCCCTCCATCCCTCTACGCCTTCTCGTACCCAGCACATGAGATCCAGCCCGCTGCCAGGCCATGGCAGTCGCGCAGGGGTGAGCTGTTTTACAGACTGCGCTGTCCCCACCAGACCTTCCCTGCAGGCCTTGGTGCCACACGGGCTTCGTGGGCACCGGTGGGTTTGGTGGCTTCGCTCTGAGTCACACTGCGAGCACTGGAAGCTGTTAGAACTATTTGGATCTTTTGCTTTCCCTTTTTATAGCTGAGTAAATCAACCTGGTGCTCATAAAGCAGGTTAATAGCACTAACTAGAGCCACTCGCCAGCCAGGCTTTTGCGTAGAAACACTTGCTGTGTCCTCGGTGGCTGCGGATTTCACACCAGAGCTGCGTCGCTTCTGATGCACCGCATCCACGTTCTGCGGTGCTGCGGCTCACCTCGCTGCAATCCTCTGTCAATTGCTTTGCCGCTTCGTACGAAGCGGATTCAGGAGGATGAAAATGCTAAAAGAGCAGCTGCCTCGAGATTGCAGCTCCAATATCGTTAATGTTTCCTTCCAGGGGCAAACAGAGCGTTTTTAGAAATAACACCGTTCGTTTTCCCTTCTGGCTCTTTGGCAGGATGGAGCCCCGCTGTGGAAGGGGATGGACAGCCCTGTTACCACACTTCTTACCAAGCACAGTTTAAGGGTGAATGGAGTCTGCCTGCAAAGCCAAGCGAAAAGGTAACAGCAGGATTTGGGGAGGACCAAGACTCGGTTAAAGGGCAGCACGTTCCCCTGTTGAATTCTGTCCTGAAAGGGGTGGGATCTGTGCGAGTGCAAACCGGATGGATGGGAAGACCGAGAGGGGAAACAAAGGGGTTGTGCTTTAAGTGGCTGTTCCATAGCTCTCTTGGCTTCCCTTCAGCACACGTCTTCTATTAAATTTGGGGATCCCAGAAGCGGTGGATCTATGAGCGAGCAGAAACACACCTACAGAGCCCCAGACAAGAGGACACACAGGTATCAGCAGGAGAACCCAACAGGCATCCCCAGGAACTGCTCTTTCTGATGAACATTGCTAGTTAAGCAGCTTGTATCTGATATCTTGCAGAGTCTATGACAAGGCATGTGCTGCCTCCCAGATCCGCCGCACGAACCTGCAGCTGGGGGATGGTCTCACCAGATTCTCCACCTCGACGTCAGAGCTCTTCCCAGTCCACAGTCTAGGTAGGGTAGGTCTGTGACACAGAGGCAACGTGTACAGACCACTGCTGGGGTTTATAACGAGCTGAGCAGTAGTTTTAGCACTTGGTTTCAGTGATGTAATGATAAATGAAGATATACTACATTCCTATAATGTGGATATAATTTTATATTTTTAATGTTTTCTAGTTTTTGCTTACTCAGCACCAGTGGCATCACTGTGAGGCTCTGTTTCATCCTCACCCCACTTCCCTGGCAGGTTAAATAGCTGTGTTCATTCCTGTGCTCTGTTGCACGGGGAGAAGCTGCCGTAGCTGTGAATCGTTCAGAGACCAGGCTGCCCTGACGTCCTTCACTCTTGCTTTTGCCAGAGCCTGTGACTCTTATCCGTCCAGACAAATACACCTCATCCATCCCCAGAGGTGACGAAGACCCTGAGAGAAATCAAGCATTGGCAAGAACTACTACTACACAGCTCTCCTACCCCGAGGTCTGTTCCCAGCTTTGCTCTGCGGGTGTTGCTCGGGTGGAGACTCTCTTTTTTTTCCTACTCTGGCACCTAAAGCTGATGCCGTTGGCCCTTCTGCCCACTCTGGGCTGTGCAGGGTGTAACGCGCAGCAGGGTGTAACGCGCAGCAGGGGGTAACGCGCAGCAGGGTGTAACGCGCAGCAGGGTGCCTTTCCCCGCCGCAGCCTGTTGCTGTTAAAGCAGCTCTTGTGTTCTCCAGACTGACAGGTGGAACCTCGCACTGAAGCCCGACTTGCTCCTTCGGGAACATCGAAGCAACGTCTGCCTGGGAGACGAGTGTTCGGGCTCCTGTTTCTTCAGCACAACGCAGCAGTCGGACTACCAGCCGCCCTGCCGGAGCCAGAGGGTGATGGCAGACGGCAAGAGCCACCGTCAGAGCCACATCCCCTTCAACTACCACGGTAAGGCCACGTTGCTCAGGCTGTCGTGGTGCTGGGGGAAGCCTGCTGGGGTTCTCCCGGCTCAGCGCAAGGGGCAGCGAGGCCCGGTGCTCTGGGAAGGGAGGCAGCCCAGGCTTCTCAGGTTGGAGGTGGCAGGAAGGCACCGGTGCAGCAGCCTGTCTTGAGTAAAATGAGACTGTTGCCCCAAAACCGGGCAGGACAGCCTTGTGCAGCCTCCTGCCTGCTGCTGGTGGTTCTCACAGCGGCTCCTGATCTCAGGCACTTTCACTGCCCCAAGTGACATCTCGCTTACCAGCCCCTTTGGGGCCTGTGCCAGCCGCAGGCGTTCACTCCCATCGTACAGCAACGTTCAGCGTGACGTGAATGATGGCTGGGACATGACCCAGGGGCTTGATCTTTCTCCTTTGCTACATGTGTTTTTAGGAGTTGTTTTGCATTTGTATTTGGGAGGAAGGAGAGGATTTTGATCAAAAGCTGTGCTGATGCGACCTCAGGAAGGGATGTGATTAGAGCTGGTCATGGAAGGCATTAAGAAAATCCTCCTCTGACGTTGCCTCCTGTTTCTGATGGCCAGTGCTCTGCAGCTGAGGGAGAGGTCCCTTCATGCCATGCCTCTGGTTTTGAGCCATTTGTTTTGCTAAATGTGGAACAGATCACAGTTGAATGGATTTTTTTTTCCCTTGGCCCCAGGCTTCTGGAGCAGCTCCATAACTAGCATATGGAGTGATATTCCTGTAACCACCATGTGAATTTCTTCATTTACCTCCTCACCCTGAGAATTGTTTCTGTCTGGGCAAAGGTTTTCAGCAAAGTGCCGACAGCAAAGCCTGTCTTTTCCTCTCGTTAATGGAAGCGCACGCGGAACTGTGACTGCAAGTCAAGCTGCGACGCTTTTCTGATGTCGCCTCCTAATTTACTGCCTTGAATTCACTTTTTATTTCAATTCCATCTGGCAGCCGGTGAAAGTTCTGTCACAACCACGCAGGCCATGCTGGTCCCACACAGACAGCAGAAACAATGACTTTCCGAAGATGTGCTACAGCAGGTAGAGCCTTAAGAGGCTTGGATTTACCACGGGGCAGCTTGGGGAAGCGGGATGATACCCAGGGAAGCTGTAGCCTCCCCGTTAACATCACCAGGTTTGGTGCGTGCTCTTGAGCGACGTGAGATGGGGCAGCCGTGCTTCAAGTCCCGTCTGCCTCCAGTCTCGAGGAAATGCTCTGTGGGGAGCAGAGTTGTAGCCGAGAAAAATCTTCGAAGAGGGGAGGAAGGACCAGCAACCGAATCCTGAAGCCAAGGAACGTTGGAGGGAGGGGGGAAGGTGATTTTGGTCCCTCACAGAGGATCAGAGGTGGAGAACTGGCATGGCTAGAGGGGTCCAACCAGGGCAAACGTCTCCTTGCACCACCAGCAGAGAAGACTGTGCATCTGCCAGAGAGAGAGGACGCAGGCGGGCACAGACCGCAGCGGCTCAGCGGGGGTGACCCTTCAGGTAGCAACACGGGGCTCAGATGTAGGCGCTGCCTCTTCCCCAGCCCCGTCCCCGTGTGCCGAAAGCTTTTCTCTCTCCTCAGATCAAATGCTCCCACCTGGGGCTACCCTGGAGGGCGCAGGACCTCTTCAGGGCTGAGCAGAAAGATGAGTTCATGCCCAAGTCCGGAGGCCCAGCAGAAATCCAAAAGGCAAACTCCCAAGTGAGCTGCGTCCCCCTGGGGACCCTGAAAGGATACTGTCCCCGGAGGAAGGTGCTCTTCACACCATGATGTTCTCCCTTCTTCAGTGACTGCCCAGAACTTGCTGCACTGTGGACTGCCTACACATGGTGTAACCTCTTAGCCATCCTGGTGCCCTGCTCTTGGCCCATCTGTGCGTTACTACAGGGAACATTTGTTTCTCAAATCGCGCGAGGACACGAGAAGGTGGTGTGACAGCAAGAATAAACACTGGGAGATTAGCCCAAAGACGTGGGTGAGACATCTCTCTGGATTGCAAGACCCACCGAGCGCCTCTGGGCAGGCGCTGGGGCAGGAGGAAGCAGGTGGGGTAGGGGGAAGCTCAGAGAAAGGGCAGGAGATCAGAAGCAAAGTGGGAGGCACTGTCAGGGCTGTGTGTGGGCTGGAATATTCCCTTATTATCTGTTTGGATTTTGGTGTCAAGGCCTGAAACCAAAGGTCAGTGAACAGTAGGGCAGAAAGGCAGCTCTCCCCAGCTTGTGATGAGTGGGCTGTTTTCCTAGAGGGGAGCCGTGTATTTTTGTCGAGTTGATAACTCACGTGGGTTTCCTGAATGCTGAGCTTGCACTAACCCTGGGATACAGGTATTTGGAAGAGGGATCAGTGGGGGCCGGTCAGCCCCCTGCCTTGGGGCGCCGAGCGAGCGGGGTCAGCTGCCGCCTTGGCACACCTGCCTCTTCACAAGCTCTTCTCCACCTTTTGATGCAGATGCCTGGGTTCGCACGCGCTGGGAACCAGCACCAAAGCATTTGGGCACCAGTTACTAAACCATTTCCAGTCGCTGCACTTTGTGCCCACCAGCCCCCGTGCTTTCCCCTTGGGATTTGACTCTGTGTCGCTCAGGAAAGGGACAATCTTTGCTCCACACGCCCTTCAAAGAAGCCGCAGACTCAGGTCTTGCAGATGCATCCAGGCACCTCACGTCAGTATCTCACGCCGCTACGTTGCCAGCACCTCGATTTAAACACCTAAATTTCATCATTTGGGACTTGCATCTGCTGCCAGTCTGCCCCATTACTTTTATGTGACCCGGAGGTGGCATTGCCACCTGTGCTACCGCAGAAACAGCCGCGGTTCACTGGCGATAAGTGGTGAACATCACCCTTCTGGTGGAACCAGCTGGCTGGGGAGCTGTTGCTGGGAGGACCTGGTGGTTATTCACTTTCTTGTTCACGTGGATTTTGATGTGACTTCAAACACAGAAAGTCCAACTGGCTTTGGGGGTGAGGGTCTCTGCTTTCTAAACGGCTCTCCCACCCCTTCCATCAATGCCCCAGGAGAACCGGGAAGGCCGATTCTGTGATTCCCCCAGCTACGTGAAATCGGCCAGCACGCTTGGTGGTGCGTGACACCCCTCCCTGCCGACGGAGCCACCAGCACGTACCAGTTGCACGCCGACAGTGTCTGTGACTCAGAGATAAGATGAAGTCATGTTATTTCTCGATCGGTTTAAAAACACGTCACTCGTCTCCGCGGCCCCATCCTTGGCGCAGCGTTGGCCTCACGCGCATGAGGTCAACACGAAAGCCTCGCTGCAAAACAAGTTTCAGTCCAACCCTGGGGAAGATTCGGTCCGCAGGGCTGGGCCCCTTCAGGGCAGGGATAAATTAGGGGATCTCGGTGTAGCCTTTGCTTTTTCCTCCCCTCCCTGGAGGGTGCGCAACTGCCTGCCCCGCTCGCCTCAGCCCGGGCAGGGCCCAGCCTCCCAGAGCTGCCG